TCTAGCAGCGCCCGGTGGCCCCTGGCGCCTTACTTTTGCTCTTGGGAAACTCGGGAATTTTAGTTGTTTTTTTTTTTTCCATAAAAATCATATGCTGGGCATCCTGGATTTCACAGTCTCAGAGCACTGGGCTCCATTCAATTTTCCTTAGAGCACAGCCTTGTATCGTAAAGAGAATTTAGATGCTAGTCGCACTTATGGTTAAATTGGGTACTGTTGGTTTCATTTTTATATTACCTATGATGACAATATTTCTACGTTACCTGTGAAACCAATACAACCACGACAGTCAATGAGAAGAAAGGAGTATGTTTCGGAGCACCAATGCGAGCTCAAAGTAAAAGGAACCAACTGCTTGAATGCGGTAAACACCGCGATTTTTTTTTTACTTTGTACGTAGTTGATTGAGAATCAACTTTAGGGTGACAAGAATCAAGGAAATCATCACCAGCCCAAGAAGCTTTGCTTGTTAAACGAATTCCCCATATTAGTACCAAAGGAAACTTTTTTTTTTTTAATTTTTTTCTTCGTCATTAAATCTTACTTGGATACATACATCCTTAGAGGTTATTTTTGTTCGTCGTTTTTTGTTTTGTGGTCGTTGTTGTTGTTGTCTATGACGTTTCATCGTTGTCGTCTTCGTCGCTTTCTCTTTCTCTTTGTCGCCTGATCTTTGTCTTCGCCGTTAACAAAACCACTTGATCTTCGTCGGAAGGGTTTTGTTGTCGCTTTATCGTCGTCAAGGTTACCATCTTACTTTGTACGTAATTTATTGAGATGGGGCATGAGTTATCTAGTCCTTGGCAGCCATGCCCATCTATTAACCTGGTTAGTATTAACTAAGATAGTGTTTTTTTTTTTTTTTCGGGTGTTGTAGAGTGCTGCAGCAAATCTTAGAGCTATGCTTGTGACGCCTTCCCCTGATGCTAATACGGTGAGTGAATCGTTTGGCAAACTAATCATAATTCGTACAAAAATGTGTGTTAAACGTTCATCGTTCACAAACAAACGTTAGGGTCATCTTGCACCACCCAGTTTCATCCACAGACATAAAAGCTAATGGCACTATGGACAGGATCACATGAAGTGCCAGGGTTTCTTCCACAGATGAATAAAGGCTGATAGTTTCGAAAGAAACTGTTTGGGGCGGCGTCGGTGGGAGTAACGAAATAATTTGGATATATCAACAAAGCTGAAGTGGTAAATTGGCCACCGTAACGATTACAAAAGCAAACGTTTCGAGCGTTAGCCCTTCGTCGGAGCGAGTGATGTATTCGCTCCGACGAAGAGCTAACGCTCGAAACGTCAGCTTTTGTAATCGTTACGGTGGCCAATTTACCACTTCAACTTTGTTGATATATCTAAATTATTTCTTCCACAGACTTGAACGTTGGAACCATGTTGTACAGCTTAATAAACTACCACACCACACACAAGATGACCAGAAGCTTTACTTTGAATGGTCCCACATCAGGGTTTTATTGATAGACTTTAAAACCACCGTATACAGCGTAATACACAAGTAACACAAGAAGGAAATACTCCTTAGCTTTCATCTTAATGGACAGTCACACATTAAAGTGCCTATGAAGGAAAAAAATTTTTTGCCCTGTTTGTTTGCTTAGGGCTTGATGAACACAGCTAAGCGATTTTGACCCACCAAAAGAACTTTCTCGTATTTTTTTTTTTTTTTTTTCTAACCTCAAAGTTTGGACTTTGCAATCTGAAATGGGTCCATTTTGCGCGCGGTCAAATCTCATCTTACAAAGGAAGTGACGTAGTAGGTGGTTCTGAAGACGACAAACAAAAGCTTAAACAAAGCGCCAGAACCACCAACTACGTCGTCTGAGCCAACCTCGTTCCCAGTTTCCGGAGACACCGATAACGTCTAATTTAGGGACTTCGAGCCACCAAAAAGCCGATTTAAATTTCTTTTCTTGAAATTTGTTTTGTCATTCCTTAATAAGGACGTAATAAGCTACAAAATTATATATAAATTTTTACTTCATAGGCACTTTAAGGTTTTATCTTCAGATAAAGCTAGAACCACCTTGTAGGGCACTATAAACATGATTACATGAAAGTATAACCAACAGTGCAGGCGTCTTGCTAGGGCGAGTTAATGTTTTAAGCTCGTGATCGTTTTTTCCGAACGCCATGTCTGATTTGGAGTCAGAGTGGACTACCCTGCAGGCTAATGAAAATACTGCTCAGTAGCTTTCATTTGACTGGTCTCACATTAGAGTTCCGTTGTTAGAGCCTCTTTAAACCTTAGTACGAGATGCATTTGCGTTTAAATCAAATAGTCTGACGTTCTTTACTGATTTTCCTTTCAAATTTAGTCTTCTTCAAGTACACCAAACTCGAATCCAGCATCAAACAAGAGAAAACATGAAGACGAGGACGAGGAACCGAAAGATGATATTCGGTATATAAACTTTTTCATACATCATTTACATGATTAGCAGGAACGCGTATAACATGCGCGCGAGAGAGCAGACACCTTTCTGGCTCGCGTCTTGTGTAATAGACCACACGCAGCAGGTATTTGCCAGTCTAGTCAGTCTCTTAAGTCAATATGTCCCGGCGCCACGTGAACCATGGGAAGCTCTTCCCAGGGTTCATTTGGCGCCGTCATCTGTTGACGTGTGTACGATTTGGTGGAAAACTGTGGAGTTTGATTCCTTTTTCTCAGGTTATGGGAGGCAGGATGGAAAGGCCGTTATTACAAAAATAAATTTCAACTGTCTGAAGACGATGAAGGTTATGATGACTTCAGGAAGAAAGTGGTAAGTTTCCTAGCTGCGTTCATTCAAATGTTGTGGGATTTTGTAAAGCACTCGCTCGGCTCGCTTTCCAGCAGAAACATTCTGCTCTTATAGTGTTTCCGTAAGTTTAGGAACTTTTGGTGAATTGTCTGGGGAACTTGTCGAAGTGCTTAGTTTTACCTGTGGTGTACTGGTATTCTTTGAAATGGGCTGTGTAGCATGCAGCAGGGCATGGTAGGATTGCAAGCTGCCGCTGGTCATAATGGACGACTCGGGATAATGTTCGTAGAACTATGGGAAACACTTATCATTGTCAGGATACTTTGTATGGAAGGAGAAAACTGCAAAGTGACAAACTCATTATTGGAATTTAGGAGAGTTTTTTTCACGAGCTGAATACTCATCTGTTCGGCTTACTAAGGTTTACAAAAAAAAATCTGTTGTTACTTCGAATCTTTCAGGCACACGCCTATGTGGAAGGACTTTGTTGGGTTTTACTTTATTACTATCAGGTATGTATGGTTCTGTGTGATCCGGGATTGTGCTACTTCACATCGCTCTCTTATTGGTCTCCAAAACTCGCACCACTTTCTGAACCAACCAGATCAAAGCGAAAGCCATCGCCTCTTGGTCACCCGCGTTTTCCCGCGCTTTGCTTGTGACAAGCAAAGCACGGGGAAAACGCCGGTTACCAAACTAGTACTTTGTGTTCTCATTGGCTCCTTGTGATGTTCTGCTGTTCTGATTGGCTGTTGCCGTTCTGATAACTTAGGTTTTGGTTTCGTGACAATCAATCGAATAGACCTTTACGGCAAGTTTCATTTACTTTCTCTTTTCAGGGTTGTCCTTCTTGGAAGTGGTTTTATCCATATCATTACGCTCCTTTCGCCTCAGATTTCCGTGACCTTGCATCACTTCCAAACTCTTTTGAAAAAGGAACACAACCGGTGAGATTAAGAAATGAAACAAAATCGAATTGAAACCTCATAAGGGGTTTTATTTTGTTTCTCTGTGTTTGAATAACAAGCGTGCGTATTCGTTCATGCACCCGCGTGTGTTAAAAAAACTTGCGCGCATACGCACGTGTACTTATGTGTTTGCGTGTGTTTGGGTGGCCGTTGCATAGTGGTCCCATTCCACCACTTCAAACACTCTTTTCAGGAATTATAACTGTAGGATGGGGTGGAGGAGGGGGGGATGGGTCGCCATGCCTTGTAGGTGCCCAGTAAATCCCTTTGACATCAGCTGAATGTTTAAATGTCGCGCTACTTAATTCACATTCTCTATAACTTTTTTCTATTCTGCACAGATTGTTAAAAAAAAGACGTGTTTGTTTTAGATAAAATCATTTCTCTTCTCGTCAGGAAGCTCCAGTAAATGAAAATGCTGCAGTGCCTGAATCTGCGAACTATTATCGTGCGTAAAATTATGCGGACTGAAAAAATGTGCGGTACATTACTGAAAAAGTCTATAGACAGTGTCTAATGTTTTGTTATTTCCAGTTTAAGCCTTTAGAGCAACTGATGGGAGTATTCCCAGCAGCCAGTGGAAACTTTCTTCCTCCAACCTGGAGAGAGCTGATGTCTCACCCAGTAAGTATCGTTTGTGTAACGCAATCTTATTTTCTCGTCTAACAATTCTGGATTTTGGTCATAGGAAACTCAAAACTTCTTATCTTTCTTTGTCTATTTACAAAACATGATGCTATCGACATTACCGATCCTAACAGTATGTAGGATGCGTGTCACATATGAACTTCGTAATGGGCCTTTCTCACCAGAGAGTCTCGTGGCTCAGTGGTAGAGCATCGGAACGCGGAATCCGAAGGTCCGAGGTTTAATTCCTCGAAGGGATTTAGAATGTTTTTCTTTGTCCCACGCTCGTTGCAAGACGAAAACATCTTTCTCTAAGATCTTAAGAGTGAGAGACTTTGCTAAAAACTTACCATCTTTCTTATTCTATTTACAATTACAGGAGTCGCCGATTATTGATTTCTACCCGCTGGATTTTGAAATCGATCTCAACGGGAAGAAGTACGCATGGCAAGGTAAAGAAGGCTCAACCAATCAGATGCAAAATTAGAACAACTCGTGACTTGGTCACCCGCGTTTTCCCGCGCTTTTGGGTCCTGGCGTCGTTCTGATTGGCTGTTGTGATTACTTTGATTATGTTTTACGACACCCAACTTTCTCAATCGATAAGCGATCTAAACTGTGACTTTACATGCCTGCGTTGTTGTTGTCTTTCAAGGCGTAGCCCTCTTACCGTTTGTAGACGAGAAGAGACTTCTCGGTGCTCTCAGTCATGTATACCCGGATCTCACAGAATTGGAGAGTAAGTTTGATGTATCCCTTTTAACATAATTGGTAACTTGCTCTTGGATACTTCTATTTGTCGGAGAAAACTTTCAACGCAACCGCCAATAGTTTCAACCTTTCGTTCGATAATTTGTCGACAATCCATGAAAACCATAACACATTTTTCTCTTCTTTTCTTTCTAATGATTTCCCTCACTTAATGAGATCTCCTATTCTGCTACGAAATGTTTAGACATCGCCCAGAAGTTTTCCGAACTTCTCTGCCCTTCAAAAGTGCCAGTGGCTTCTCGCATAGTCAACAACCTCATAACTTCTTTACTCTTCGGATTTCGTACAAGCTTTGTACAGCTACACGTTTTGTGTCATACTGCGGTGGTCGTAAAAGTTAAGGAATTCTTATACACTCAATATGCTGCCTCTTACAAAGGCTACCTTCCGTTTCATTTATTTCAGCGAAAAGAAACAATCGCGGTAAAGATCGCTTGTTTCTACGCCAAGGAAATCCTGTCTTTGACTTCTTTGTGGGCCTTTATGAAGGAGGTGGCATCAGAGAGGTAGAGTTTAAGCCGTAGAACGATTTTAAATTTTGTCTCTAGGTTGTCTTTAGAGTTAGAAAAATATTCCATTGATTGTTGACAGTGGTCTTGGATGACATTGGTTCTCTGCTCCACTAACAGGGCTGTGGTCAAGCAGTGCCCGGTGGCCCCCTGGCGCCTTACTTTTGCTCTTTGGCGACTCAGGAATCTTAGTTTTTTTTTCATAAAAAGCATATGCTGGGTACCCTGGATTTCACTGGGCTCCCTTCAAATTTTTCTTAGAGCACAGCCTTGATTAATGTTCGCTCTGTGATCATGGTGATTCAAGCTATTTGGGTTAACAATTAGCCCTTTGACCCCCCCACCATTAAGGCCATGGGACTAAAAGAAATAATCACCAAGTGAAGAAGTTCCTACAGCTGATTGTTAGGCAAGTTCTCCTTGTCCGCACCTTAGGAATTGTACAGAGAACAGTATGGAGATTATGCTTACTGAAGTTAGGGTGTAAAGCGTAGCCCGTGTAAGGTTCCGAATTAGTGGAGACGAGCGAAAAAGCGGACAGAAATGGCATGCAAGGGGATGCAGCTGTTACGTCTGTCATGGAAACGGCTGTATCTCGCATTTCACTTTTATCACTTTCACGCTTATTTCGCGAACGCCAATTTTTTTCGCGCTCACTTTTTTCGCTCTTCTCCACTGACTGAGAACCAGGGACAGGCTACAGCGACAATTCAACGGTTTTTTCACTTTATTTATTAGCCGTTTTAAGTTGCCTCCCTATGTCTTTGCAGTCGGTTGAAATCGTAGCAAATCTGAGTGGTGGCATGTCAGGAAAAGTAGAACCAGATGATGTTCCTATTTTACCTCACAAGTAAGAACAAACAATCTGTAAACAATCTCATTAACACTGTTTATGGAGATGTGTGCTGCGGATATCGTGTAATTTTTGCCTCCGCTTCTAAAGAGGGTAGCAGAATTTATGACATTAATCGCGTTTTGAGAATTCAGAGAGTGACTCCCTTTCGAGAATAGTCCATGATACAACTCTGTACTTAGTTGCCAAGCCTTTGAACAAGAGTGAGGTTAAGAGTGGTGACCTTGTTATGATACAAACGTTGCTGCTTTTCAAATGTAAATTACTTTGTTATTATGCTAACTAGACACATGTCTCTATCACAACAAGATAACTTTCAGCCTCACTCCAAATCAAAGGCTTGGAAACGAAGTATAGAACAGTAAAATGGCTAAAAAAAATCATCTTAAAATTTCACTACGATTGCTGCCATCTGAATCTCTCTTAGCAACCTAGCCGCTTACGTGCTCCGATGATTGGGTTTTCTGCAAAGTTTTTGTTAACTTACACTTATATAAACATGATACATGCATGTATAAGGGTGCTTTCCTTTGAATTCGAAGAAATAAAGGGAAGGGATTGAGTTGATGTAAACTGATTGTGGAATCAACAGACAAATTTGTTTTTATCATACCCCATCCTGTTAACCTGAATAAAGGGAGTAAGTTTCTAAAGAAACTGGGGTACTGCGTCGGTAGGAATAGCAGGGTAATTTTAATTTTATCAACTGAGTTGATAATGTGAATTGGCCACTGAAAAGAGTTTCAAAGCTGATGTTTCGAGCATTACACCTCAGCGTACACTATTGAGTTATGGATGCACGCGGGAGGTTGCTAAGCACGAAATAAGCGTAAGAGTCGCTCGAGGCGATAGCCGAGAGCGACTCTAGCTTCTTGAGTGCTTAGCAAACCTCCCAAGTGCATCCATAACTCAATAGTGTACGCTGTGGTGTTTACCATTTGTTTTATAACATAACATTGATACATTGTAGCTAAAGAGTTCCCTTTTATTTAACAAATCTTACG